TGATCATATGTAGTATATAAATGAATTACAAATTTTGTATAAAAAATGATTACATTCATTAATGTTCTTTTCTTAATATAATATACATCAATCTATCTATATATACATATCTATAGTAATAATACTATTCATTTATTTTCTTCTAACTTGACGTCTCGCCAAGTGTAATATTTTTCTCTTTTCAATGATAAATAATCGACATCAAAACCGTCTACATCTTAAAAACTAATGATATCCTGTTTATAGAAAAACAACGAATGTGTTTTTATTTCTTTTTAATAAAATCTTTTGTTCTATTTTCTTATCGCAAACTATTGTCTCCAAGGATTGGATGAACAAGAATATAATAAATAGTGAAAAAAAAACCGATGAGAATAATAACAACAATGCACACATACATACAGGCTACCCCCAATAGACTAAATCCATTATGTATTTTTTATGAGTGATATATATTTATAGAAAAATTATATCGCTAGAGTATTAATTCGTCTAAAACAATTTTGCATCTTTAGTTCTTTTTTCCGTTTTTCTATATAGCATTTTCTTATTTATATTATGAACGGAAATGAGACGAAACAAAGACATAAGAGAAGAGTGTTTTCTTTTAAGAGACACAAATAAAGAAGAAAAAAAGAAGAAGAAGAAGAAGAAGAAGAAGCTTATCGAAAAAAGTGGAAAAGAGATAAGTTTGAACGTGAATGTCTATGTTTGCGCATGGCATGATAAAAAGGAAAAACGAGAAAACTAAAGGAAAACAACTAAATAATAGAAAAAGCACTAGTAAAGAATTAACATGCTGCGATGCATGCTTTAGCCTAGTGTATTTGTGCATCGACAAAATTATCGAGAAGAAAAAAAGCATGTTTAAGCAAAAAAAAAGGAGAAGAAGAAGAAAAAGAAGAAACCGGAAAGTGTGCGAGAGATTGAGAACTCAATAGAAAAATAGAAACATTGACAGTACTAAGATTAGATACGTATGTTAGCATCAAAATCATATTAAAATGCCATCATTTAAAGAACGTTTTCGTCCATCTCGAAAACAGAAAAAAAATAAAGAAGCAGATATTACTAGTACAAATGAATCTATTAATTCTTCTGCTGCTAGTGCAATATCAACAAATACTAGTCACATACTCAGAACAGGTAGAGCATCATTAACAACAACACCAATAACACCAACAGCAGCAACAACAACCGGTAAAACTATTGATGAACATACCGGTTCTGCAGCATTCTCAACTTATCATTCTCATCACGTAGTTGATCAATGTGAGTAATAGAAATATATATATCTACAGTTAGAAATATTGTTCTTTTTTGTATTTCTTTGAGTAAGCATTTAATAAATACAAAGCAAATATCGTCAAAAAATTAGATTGAATAAAGAAAGAAAAAAAAAAAATTCTTAATAAAATTTTCGATAAAAATATTCATTTACAAATTAGGATTTATTAAATCATGTAAATCTAATTTATAGACATTTCATAAAAGTAAAATTATTACTTTTATCACTACATATTTTTTGTTTAAAAAAAAAAAAAAAAAACTTATTTTTGAACTACTTCAAAAATAATGAACTAGAACAAGATGTTTGAATATCATTAAGAAGAAAAAATACATATTATTTTGATGAAACATGAAAAAAAATAAAAAAATAAAGTTTTTGTTTTACTCTTGAGACAATAATCAAGAAACAGAAGTAATGAAACATCCTGTTTTTCATAATATATAAGACGAACTAAGAAAATAGATGAACATCTAACATTTCCGTCTTTATGTTCATCAGACCCGATATCCTATCTGTTGACTATCATTATTACTATACTAAGAACCAAAAAAGAAGAAGAGAGAAAATAGTAATATATGTGTTTAGCAAAAAATAAAATTTCTTCTGGGTATTTATTATACATCACATTTTTGAATAAGTATAGCTTTTTCTCAAGTGTTGACGAACCGCTCTGGGAAAACAACAAACCAAGAAGATTTAATAACAAAAAATATTTTATACAAAGACTAGTTTTAAGTCAATCAGTTAGCTATTCAAGTGAAGAAAATGGATGATTTCCGCTTTAATAAAATCTATTTATATTTATATACAATACTAGTCAAAAACATGAAAACAACATGTTTTTTATTTTCTATGATACTGAAAATTTTAATGTAAATTCAAATAATCATTTAAATAACAAATGAAATTCTCTATTAAATCTATTCTATACCGAAATTTCATAGACAGATTATGAGAAGAAGATTTCTGAAAAATCGAACACAATGGTTTTCAAGTCTAAGAAAATTCTGTGAAAATTATTTGTTAATAGTACCATAGTATTCATATATAAACAAAACGAAACATCGCCGCATTTTCTACGATTTTCCCTTATAAAGATATAATCATCACAAAAAAAAAAATTGAAATTTATTAAGGCATTGCTAAAAATCGTACATTTTTGTTTTTTTTGGTGTTGTGTATAATCTTATAAGGAAAATCAGTGGCTTTTGGGGGAAGAAGTTAACACCTAAAAATCTTTTTTTTTTGTAATTGAAATTACTTTTTTCCTATTGAAAAACCTAGTTTTCTGGCAGTCAGGTGCTTATAACGCCTATTTAAATATCAGACAAGTTTCTCAAAAATCCTTGATTGTCCTGGTAAAATTTAGTAAAAACCTAGCCCGCACTAGAAAACCGCCGGTTTTTTATTCTGGAAGATTAGTACAGTTAACAACTAATTTTTACACGGTCTTACGAGACCTTAAAAGCATTCGTTTTCTTATAATCCATCTATACAATTTCGGTATAGAATGTATTTCATAGAGAACTCCATTGGCTGACTATTCAAATAACTATTCCAATTTGAGTTAAAATACTCAGCATCGGAGAAAAACAAAAAACCAAAACTACGTTATACTTATATTTTAGACCAGCATTGTATGTATATATACATATCCTAACTAATACGTTACAAAATCAAACGAATATTGTTTTCTAGATATGCGCAAATAGTTATTAAATTTCTTTACACATATAGCAAAAAAAAAAGAAATATCACGTTTGTTGTAATAGTGTGATGACAATGAAATAATTCGTTACGACACGTGCGAAAGCTATAATAGAAAGTAATTAGAAGAAAAACAACAACAAAAAAAAAAAAAAATCTTAAAAGTTTAAATTTTTAAAAGCTCAAAAGAGAAAAGAAAATAGTCGTATAATAAATTAATATCTTACAAAAACAAACGAATGATACTCAGTATCCTTATTTTTATCAATAACAAATATAGATAATGATGAAACATATTTGTGCATTTCTTTTATTTTTTCTTTGCTCCTACACATTATTCTATAATGTACTCCAAGAAAGACGCATTATCAATAATTCATAATATTTAATGAATTAGATTAGGATTTGAGATAAGCTTCTTTTCGAGAATTTATCGACCCTGTCATAGGTGATGACATATATTAATAATAAAAACTTAAGACGAATCAAATCAGATATGCCTTTTTTCTTTTTGTTGACTTCAATTGAAATAGACATTATCAAGACAAAAAAAAAAAAAAAAAAAAATCTTAATAGAGTTACATTGACATTGATGTATAAGAAACTTTATATATGAACATTCTTTACGCATGAGAATGTCACAAAAATATAGACGGGAAAAAAAAAATAACATTAATTAAATATTTTTTTTCCTGATTATATTAGTTTTATATCTAACAGAATATAGCATGAGATATTAATAAAATAATTCATTAGATTTTTATCTCGAACTATAGTTATATCTGTTTTTTATAGAAATGAAATAAAACAGTAATATTATAATAATACTATTGTTGTTTTCTTTCACATGCATCAATGAAGTTTTGCAAGCAAGCAATACTATTTTTCTGAAACATGCTAGTCAATGATTAACATGCAAAAAAAGAAATGACCTGTCTCTAATAAATCGATTATGATAGTCATTCTCATAATGTTTTTCTGTTTTCTTCGAATCTACTGCCATGTGTAACAGTCTATCGAACATGATTATATTATTATTACTTATATATTACTATGTAGTTCTATCAATCATTTCTGTATAATTGAACTAGAATAAATATAGACGCAATTGTTCACATAGCAATGTGACTCTAGGGCGAAATAATCAAATTCATACATCTAATACTATATTTAAATAGTACCTTTAAATGTAACTACGAAATTATAGAGCCAAAAATGTCAATGTCACTCTTTTTTGTTACAGTATCAAAATATAAAAAATGATCATTAAGAAAAAAAAAACTGTCAAGATCTCTTTTAAATATAAAGAACGAAAAAAAAAACACTAGGCAAATAAATAGAACAAGAATGTATTTTGCCTTTTATGATACCTCAACAATACTGTCAACGTAATGATAGTATATATTTATACTTGTACAAATACATTAGTACACAAAGAGTAAAACTTCTATTCTATTTCTCTTCTCTTCTTATGATACTTTGCTTGCTTGCATGCATGCTTGATTCTTTTCTCTTGCTTACTCTTTCTCTTCTTTCTTTTTCCATGCGCTTATATGCTCTTTCTCGTTCGTTCTTTCATTCGTTTGTTCGTTCGCGCGCTCTCTCTCTCTCTCGCTCGCTTACTCGTTCGTTGTGTCAGAAAGATATTGCGATAAATATCTCTCGCGTCGTCGCACTACGCTCATGCCCAAGAAATCAAAAAAGCCGATAGACTATCTCTCTTTCTCTCTCTTCTCTCAGTCTGACTGTTCGTCTACACTACACCAACATCACTACCATCATTGACGACAAGAAGCAAAAACAAGTCAAAACAACATCAACAACAATAACGACAATAACCTATCGCCACTAGCACGACCGTTACTGCTATCTTAGGAGGACAAGATAGAAACATAAAGTGTAACATACATATAGAAAGTATTATTAATATTAGTATCAGAACGTTTTCAATAGAGAGTTTTTTTTTTCTGTCTGTGTTTGTCATTACTGCATCTAGTCAGTCATGCAGGCACTTAAAGAACGTATATCGTCAAAATTAAGTGAAAAATCCAAGTCAAAAGATAAAGACGGATCTTCATCGCTCAAAAATAGTAGTTCCATCGATGGTAAACATTCAACAACACATGATTCACATCATCATCATCAAACAACTTCATCTACATCATCAACACTAGCAGCAAATATAGCTGCAACCAATGCTCAATCAGCTGAAAAAGGTATTTGAATGTTAAGATAAGAAGAGAAATAAATCAAATTTATGTTTATTATTTTTTTCGTCATTGAGAAAATATTTTATTTAAAAAACAAAATAAAACAAAAGAAATGGACACATGTTGCCAATTCATCGAGCGTGACATTTTCTATATATGTGCTTGACATTTGCATATCTTCGCGAGTTTTTTTTTTTATTTTTACGTTTCCCCTTTCTTCTTTTTTTTTTTTGATATGCGTGTGTGTACTCGAGAACGTTCGATGAAGATTGAAGAGAAGAGTTTTTGATAGAAAGTAAAAGTGCCCATCCATCGGAAATCACTAGAACGCATGCGAATGCATGTTGAAATATTATTTTTCTTTTCAATTTGCTTATGTTGTCTACGTGAGCACAATCCTTTTTTTTATTGTCCTATGCAAAAGAGAAAAACAAGAAACTAAAATATGCATGTCAATGAAAAGGTGTCACATATACAGAAATAAGACATGATTATGTATGTAGCATGTAACAGCTGTATACTTGTGTTACTAAAGTTAGGTTAGACGATGGATTTAGTTTTGTAACGCAATATATATATATATATTTCTATTGCATGTTGATGCATACAAGAGAGATTTTTTTTTTCTTTTGTTCCCAAATTATATGAGCTTTTTTTACATGAATCTTTGCACTGTGTAGTAACGACTTGTTTTGTGTTCAGTGCACTAGATATGATTAGAAAAAAATAACATGACGAATAGAAGAAAGAAAAAAAAAGAAGAAGAAGGAGATGACGAAGAAGAAGAAGAAGAAAGAGAGGAAAAACAAGAAGATTGAGCATTGTCGATGTGCTATTATTACTAGTACTGCTGGAGTACTTGTTGTTGTTGTTGTCGATTCGATTGTCATTATTACTTGCATCTATGCTCAACTCACCGAGTAGATGCAATTCTCTAACACAAAAAACACATACACATACATTGATTTGTTTATGTGTCTGATGTTCTTTGTCGATGGCATTGTCATTATTATCGTTATCGATTCTCTCAAGGCCTTTAATATGTTACGGAGACAGACAGAAAGAACAAACTTACACCTCATGTGTTTTTGGCAAATAGCTGAGTTTCAATATGACATGTTGTAATAGTGTATAATAATGTTATAAGAGAAAACTAGTTACATGAAAAAAGTGAAAAAAGAAATAATTTCGTGGCGCATATTTTGAAAAGAAAATCTTAAAATTATATTGAGATTGAAAAAACAACTAGAATAACATGACCTATATATATATATTGTTTATAGTGAAATGTGTCTTATATGTAACTCTTATAGTGTAACTCATTGAATTAAATGATCAGCAGGGACCAATCACAGTTCCGTTTCCGTTCTCAGAAGGTTTCGTCAACAAAAAGAAAAATATTGTCTAATATAATATATTTCTGTAACATAAAGATATTTATCAAAACAATTATTCAATTATAAACTGTAGTTTAATAATAGATGAAAGATTTATCGTCAAAAACATCGTAATAAATGACGTTGAAGAAGATTATATTCATATAACAAATACAATATATCAAAATTCTTTATGTCTTAGTCATTGAATTGATTTATGTATATACATTAATAAATTGTTTAATATAAATAACTCTTGAATTTAGTAAAATCAGTAATATTCTTGCTTCTTTTTTATTCTCTCGTTCGAAACTCGTCATCACAACAAATGCAATCAAATATTATCTATATATATATATATATATATATAAAAAAAAGATGACTACCAAATTAATCGAGCCTATGTTTTCTCCTTCTCTCTTTTTCCCTTCTAGCAAGTAGCAAAAAATTATAGATAATAGTAATGTGCATGCACATTCTTGTAAGCAAGAGGATAAAAAAGAAGTATTGAGCAACTAATTTTTTCCGTTCTTTCATACCTTCAAGGTCGTCATCTATTATTAAAAGGAAAATAAATACTGAAAAACAGTTCAAATTATTAATCAATACGAGTAAGTTATATATCGAAAAAAAAAAGAAAAAGAACTAATTAGATATTTTCGATCAACAGTTGAATTGTCGTTTTTTGTTTTTTTTTTGAATTGAGAATAAAACAAAAAGTGTGTACTAAATAATAATAATAATAAGAAGAAGAAGAAGAATAAAATCACGTAACAAGATTTAAGATTTGTTTTTTTAAAATTTAGTGAAAGCATTTTTGGCTAAAGCCAAGGATGAATTCCAAGCCAAGTATGACAAACCAAGTCAGGTAATAATTATTAAAATACATGCTTTTCATCATACATATTCCTATATTTTTAGAACACTGCAAAACCTGAAGATTTCGATCGTATTCGAACTCTAGGAACAGGTAGAATAAAATTAATGATAGAAGAAAAAGGAAATGATTGATTGACTTTTTTTGTTGTTGTTGCTTGTTAGGTTCATTTGGACGTGTTATGCTTGTTAAATATCAAACAACTGGTAATTTCTATGCAATGAAAATACTTGACAAACAAAAAGTGATTTAAAGAAAAAAAAAACAATGAAAGATCATTAGTTTTTTTTATATAAATTTAAATTTTTCTAGGTTGTTAAATTAAAACAAATTGAACATACACTTAATGAAAAACGTATTCTTCAATCTATTTCATTTCCTTTTCTTGTCAATTTAGAATATCATTTTAGAGTAAGAAGATTTTTGTAAAAATTAATTATATATATATATATTTTTTTTTAATTTTTCTTTTGTTAAGGACAATTCTTATTTATATATGGTTTTAGAATTTGTACCCGGTGGTGAAATGTTTAGTCATTTACGTAAAGTTGGTCGATTTAGGTGAAAAATAACAAAAATTAAACCAATAGAAATGAGTTTTAAAAAAATTTAATTTTTCTTTTTTTTTTTTAGTGAACAACATGCTCGATTTTATGCGGCTCAAATTGTATTAACATTTGAATATCTTCATTATTTAGATATTCTTTATCGTGATCTTAAAGTACAAAAAAAAAAAAAAAATGAAGAAAAATGATTTATTTTTATTATTATTTTAGCCTGAAAATTTATTAATTGATGCTGAAGGTTATTTAAAAGTAACGGATTTTGGTTTTGCAAAAAAGATCAAGGGTAAGAAATATATAAAAATAGAAACAAGAAAGACTCTCAAAAATAAGAGATTATAATGATTTATTATACAACAGACTAGCCTTTATTTTTTTTTCTTTCTAATGTCAAACACGTATACTCATAAAATCTAAATGATTTAGGTATTTATGATGTAGAAAATAAAATTCAAATTACTATTATATGTAATAAAAATATTTCAATTTTTGTTTTTAGTATGAATAATAAAAAAAAAAGATTTTTATCATTAAAATATATCTCATGTTTATAATGAATAGAATAAATTTTTCTTAATTAGAATAAAATAAAAATATACTATTATAATTTAATTAGTTATATTATTCAAATCGTGTAGATATAATTATCTGTTGTCAAGAATTTTAATCTTCAAGATTGCAATAATCCACGTTTTTATACTATAGAAAATCAACAAATGGGGAAATATACATGACACATACGAAGATGAAAAATGACCCAAAAGTATTCGAAATAAGACATGTCTTTATGATTGATCGTACTCTATAACTCTTTAATGCTATCACTAGAAAATTTAATAATAGTAATAGACAATCATTTGATTTCAAAAGAATGCAACAATTGATGATTATCAGACGAATGAACCCTTGTTTTTTTGTTCATTTTCTGGTTGAAATCAATCTTTTTTTATCTCTTAAATTTGAACCATGGATATCGTTAGAACAAAGAAAAAAAGGTCATCCTAATTGCTTGAATTTTAGCGAAGATACATTCTATCTTTCATTGACGATCAATTGTTTTGTTTATAGTTCATTAATTATAAAAAATTAAATATTAATGTTAATTTCTTTGGTGTTTTTTGTTTAAGGTCGAACGTGGACACTTTGTGGTACACCAGGTGAGTTATATAATTAACTTTAGATCATCGAAAAAATAACTTTATTGTTTTTGCATTTTGTATAGAATATTTGGCACCAGAAATTATCTTATCTAAAGGTTATAATAAAGCTGTTGACTGGTGGGCATTAGGTGTATTAGCATATGAAATGTCGGCCGTATGTTTAGTTTATTTATTTTTTTTTGTGTACTAAAAAAAACTATTTAAATTTTTGTTTTTATTCAGGGTTATCCACCATTTTTTGCTGATCAGCCAATTCAAATCTACGAAAAAATTGTTTCTGGCAAAGTGAGAAAAATAAATTTAAAAAAAAAAAAAATAAAATTTTTTTTTTTAGGTTCGTTTTCCATCACATTTTAGTAGTGATTTAAAAGATATTCTACGTAATCTTCTACAAGTTGATTTAACAAAACGTTATGGAAATTTAAAAAATGGTGTAGACGATATTAAAACTCATAAATGGTTTTCATCTACAGATTGGATTGCTATATATCAACGAAAAGTTGAACCACCATTTATACCTAAGTCAAAAGGACCCGGTTTGTTTAATTAGAAAAAAATTCGTTTTTTCGAGACTTTTTTTGTTTTTATCTCTTCTATAGGTGATGCAAGTAATTTTGATGATTATGAAGAAGAACCTCGTAAGACAAAAATTTTTAAAATTATATTTTATTATAAATAATTTATTGTTTGTTCCTTTTTTCTTTTTAATTTAAAGTTCGTATTGCAACAACAGAAAAATTTGGAAAAGAATTCGAAGAATTTTAAATAAAAGATATATATACAAATATATAAATATATATAGACAAAAATAAACAAAATTTTATTCTTTCTTTCAATGATTATCTTCTATTTTTAAATGTTTTAAAACGCATAAATCTGCGTCTTTAATGTCTTTTTTTTTTCTTTTCATTTTTGACTTCTATTACTAACTGTATGTTTTGTTTTTGCAGCATACTTTATTTCTCTTTTGTGTATAGATCTGTATTTGCAAGCCTTCTTTTTTTTTTTCTCTTCGTTTATTTGACCTATCTGATCATCATCATCATCCTATATCCTGTGAGTTCTGACTAACTGATTTTGTGCTGTTGTCCTCGGTGTTGTTGTTAATCTGTCATTTGCATATAAGATTTATGTGTTATTGTCAGTATTTCTTCTTATGTTTGGTTTTTGGCAAAAGAAAAAAAAAGAATTTTTTTTCCTTTTCTCTCGATTTTTTTTGATTTATTTTAAATTTATCGAAAAAAAAAAGAATTTTTTTGATCTATAAGTTAAGAAAGAAAAAAGTCTAAGTTAATCTATTGCATTTATCAGGTAGATAATATAGTGATAAATTAGTTCTCATGTTTATGAGTGACAACTTTGCACTGTAATCATTGAAGTGCAAGGAAAGAATATTCTTGCCTTTCAGCTATCTTATAATATGCAGTGCTGTCTAGTGCCAGATTCAAAAGTCCAATATCTTCCCTATAATTATGACTAGCTATATTTCTAAACAAAAGGCCGACTTGACATTCAGTTTTTTGTACTCTCCATACACATAAACTAAACACAACAACAAATATATATCACAACGTTGACAGCATGCTATCGAATGGATGATATAAGACAAATAGCTGCTAGTGACTTGTCTAGGGTCATTGCGTAGCTAGTAGTACTGAAGTTTGCAAATAGTACATTGTAGATACGTGTCAAACAACAAGGACACTCAGTCATAGAGTTTGATTGAAATGCATCTCAAATTTAGTTATTAGACTATATATGAATAAAATATAAAGATTTTTCTACCATAAATATTAGTTAACATTTTCTTGACACGTAAAGAATAAAACGAATAACATCAATATATTATTCTATTTATAATTCTAAAGGAAATTATGTTGATTATCGAGTGTCAATCTTTCACAACGGAAATAATGTTATGAACTGAGGTAATAAATATTAATATTATATCAAAATCTAAATAGCTCTTACAAAATATTGTTTATTGTAGAGTATATATTGAGATTTTCTAACTCATCAAGAAGATAATCAGTCTAACAATATAAATGATCAATCAAATGATTGAAATTTTTTTTCATCTGATGAAGTAAAACGACATTGTTGAATAATGTATGAAATCTATTATTGTTTTGAAAATTAATCCAATTCTCAATTTAAAAAAGTTTATATAATCATCGTTTATTTTGAATTGTATTGTTCATCATGAGAGTATATTTAATATTATTCGGATTATCAATCATTAAACGATAAATTACTTATACGAAACAAAAAATTTCTTTTTCCAGAGACTATTTACTTCATTTTCTATAAATTCGTAATTTCAACAGATTGAAAGTAAAAATTCTTCTCTTTGTTCTACATTAAGATACGATTTTACGATAAAATACAAATTCTACAAAAACACTCTCGATTGGATGTTCGTTTTTTTTGTTTTCATCAATTTGAAATCATCTACTTCACAAATACATATAATAAGATCGATATAAGTGACAATATTATCAATATCCGTCAGAGATGATGATAAAATTTTCGAAATTTTTTTAAATACATTTAAATAAACCATCATATTATGTTATATTGAAGCTAAGAATAATAAAATGTCGCTCTATACAAATTGAACAATGAAATTAACTCTCTTATTGATCAATCATTTAAATCTTGTTTCAAAGGTCCTTGAATAGTTACAGCAGATTTCTGATTCTTTTTAGTTTATATATTTGTAGTCATAGGAAATATACACTATAAAAAAAAATACTTAAATCTCATTTTATTTTACTTTTGGTATCTAAAAATAAATGTTGTAGGATTAAATAAATAAAAATATCTGTAATATCTGTAAACACAAAGCAAAAATAATAACATGTCTCAAGTGTATGGTATTCTAGGAAATCTTGAGACAAAGAAATTAATAACTCTGTCGTAAGTACAGCTACTAAAAAGATAGATAATGCAACGAATAATCATAAAGACTATAATTCATCTAGGGATTAAACTATTATATTCACGGACCATACATATATAGTACAGAGAAATCAACAATGTCTGAAGTACTACTAACTATTACTTTATAGGAGTCTAAATCATTATCTATATATTCAGATAAACAAGGAATAAAAAGTTTAAAAATCATATTATTTTTGATATAACAGATCATACTAATTTGTATATACCAAATCGAGATATTATTGATTATATAAGACATAGTATATACAATCATATAGTCGACATGCCTATTTAATTGGTATTTATTTTATTTAACTTAATAAACATTACTAATGAATGTCATATTAAAGCTATAATTTCTATAGAAGAGTAAGAATAAACAGAAGACCGTTATCCACATTCATCTTCGAGTGACATTTCGAATTTGTTAGTTTTATTATTAGAACAATAATTTATCTGTACAGGACTAATTTCATTGATCTATAATAAATACCAATGATTGTAATGTCAGAAGATAAACGAAAAAACGTTAAAAAGAATATATTCAAGCTCTTCAATACTTGATTAAAAAAAAGCATAGATATTAATGGAATAGAACTCAAGACATTTTCACAATATGAGTCAGTATGTTATTTAATAAACGTATTCGTATTAACGATAACTTATATAATAATATCACTAATCTATCGATTTCTTGAATTTTGAAATGTCAAAGAAAAATACCAAAACTATTATGAAGATAAAAATTCATAGAAAATATTTAATAATTAATATTCTAAATAGCTACTTCTTATCTATGTCATCTATTACTCAAGGACAAATAAGATTTCAACTAGATCAATTTTATCATCAATGAATAATACGTATAGACACGTCATTATAAGCTTAGTCAAGCAAGTTATTTTTTCTCATTATAGATCAAAAGAAAAAAAGTACATTATTTTTTTCGGAAGAGTTCTTTTGAAAGGAATTGATCTGTTTCAATTGTTTCTTTTTTGTGAGCAGTTCATCAGAACTTATGAGTTCCTCATTGATTTATGATTTATTATTGTCACAGATTCTTGTCGGTAAACAACTCATCAATAATGGACCTACTTAAAAAAACTAGTCATTTAATTTATTTTGCATTACTTACGGCTAATAAAAGCAATCTTAAATCAATTATATTGTTTATATACAATATATTACAAGATAATTTTAGTCGCTAGATTAAATATAAATGCAAACATATATACTTGCTAATACATTATGGTAAATAAAGATGAATTCAATTATTTGTTGACTTTTTTCTTTCATCAAGAGAGTGTTTGTAAATCATTTGATAAATTTTTTGATAATTTTAAAAGTCTTTTTTCTCCTTATGATCAGCTGGGACATATTCAAAGCTTTTTGCTTATCGCGAAGGAAAAGTATTTTTATTGGAAATAAAACAAATCGAATTTCATAAAGTAACAACTAGGACACATGATGGATGGCATTATTATAATTAACATTATTGATGTGCTCGACTTTTTTTTTCCATATGTCAGTCGATCTAAAAACTAGCCTGACAAATGTACACATTGGACATCTTGTAATTGATTGCATCAATCACAATCTATGTAATATATTTTTATTTGCTTTTATTTTCAGTTTCAATAATGGTATTAATGAGAAGTAAATAGATACAAAGATGTATGGATTCGGATATTCCATTCAATATTCATCATAAAGAAAAGTTTTCTTGTATTTTTTATTTATTAATAATAGATCTTCTAACTAACGGCTAGGAATATGTCCAATTCTTGGATACAAATCGAACTCATATTTGATTCATAAATAGGATTCAGTAAAATTAATCGAAGTCTAAATGAAATCGAACTCATGTGCCCATCCAAAGTTATGACCGTTTTATTGAAGTTATCCGATCTCTAGATCTCATGTTCATGGAAATTTAAATTATGAAATTTCTACTGAATATTTTGTTCATCACAGATTTCAAGATCCAAAATATGCTAAAATTTTCAGATCACAGGAACACATTTTACATGAGATATTGAGTATTCTATTGATAGCTATGTCTTGCAGATAAAGAAATAGAAACAACTCATCGTAGACATTGAATATCTCAAAAAAAATACCCACATTTGTTCGGGTTGAAATTTCAGAGTGTTTTAGCGCCTCACTGGGTCCTATTTATAGACAAAATTTCATCATTTAAGCTTCCATGAACATCAGACTTAGCGACTGAAAATTCCAATAAAACTATCATCGCTTTGACTGGCTACATGAGCCCGAACTTATTTAGACTTCGATTAATCTTACCGAACCTTACTCATGAATCAAATATGCACTCGATGAGCGTCCGATTACTGGAGATGTTCTTTTGTAAGACTCTGAAACCTCAATGCATAATTAGGTGATAGTGAATGAAAAATTGATTTAGTTTACAAAATGTTTTACAAGTATTAATGTGTAGAGTTCAGTGAGTTCAAAATTTTCGGACATGGATCCAACGTGCTCTAGTAATGTGACTGTTTTTTGTTTGAATAGTATTCACTTTTCATCGATGACCATGAACATTGAAGAAGTTAGACTGACTTTCTTTGCTATGTTTTTTGCGCTTGTCTTACAAACAATTATTTCTCTATTAAATAAAATAATTGTAAAAATTTAAAGAACAAACGTTGAATTATTAACATTACAGTTTGAAGGACATCAGAAAATTTTGAACGCATTCTGCAGACATCTACAACTATTAGAATTAGTCGAAATTTTCGACTAATCCAGTTGGACTATTTTTTTTCTGAAGATTCGCCTGACATTTTTTTTTCTTGTTTTTTGTATTTGCAAATTCAGACATCTATATCTACGGAATTTACCTTGATGTCTTCATCAACTATCTTTCTACATGATTTTCTTGTTCCTAATGATGGTTCTCAAGGATCATTTGAAGTAAATTTATTTATTTTTATATTGATTCTGTTTTTTTTCATCATTTTGTTTTTGTTCTTGTAGCAAGTAACAAATGTTCCTTCTCAACGAATAAACTTTCGACGTGAACGAAGTCCTTCTCTTGTACGATATTTTTTATATTAATTTTATATGTAATAAAATTACCTTACATTTATAGGAAGATAATGAATCAATATTTAAATCAGTTCGTACAGATTATCGACCGGTATGTATTTATATTTAAAACATGTTTTTGTTTTTTTTTTCATAAGATTTTTGTTTTTATATTTAGGATGCAATAGCCGATCCTCCACTTCCTCGTCGACGTGTTGCTAAAAAGACTACCATTAGCAAATGTTTACCATCAAATAATAATAATAATAATAATAACAATAATAAAAATCCAATAATTCATCAATCTACACGTCAAACAATAGTTGATGATAATTATGATGACATGTCTCATTATACTTCATCAGGACGACAATCAATAACATCAATTAATAATAATGAAGTAAACAAGAGAAAAAAAATAAAAGGGTTAATTAAAATGAAAATTTCGATTATTTTCTAAATAGGAAATTGGTCTTAGTCGAATACCTGATCAACCATTATTACCAACATTTAGTGATAAAATTCAACACGAACTTGTCATGGGTGAATTAAAATAAAAAGATAAATTCATATTAAATTCTATATTTAAATTTCTTTAGGTAATCCTGAACCAATAATGAATGAATTAATTCGTGAAGCAGCTGATTTCTATATGAATGTCTATCCACAATTAACACATGGTGTTGAATATAAAAAAATTGGTATTGCACTTATTAATGAATATCCTTGTTTAGCATGTGAAGATACAATTAATCCTCATGTATGTTCTTGTTGTTGTTGTTGTTGTTGTGTATTTTTCTTTTTCAGAGTATATTGATTCATATTTAATTTGATGTTGATTTTTTTGTTTTTGTTTTCGATTAGGGTTTAATTACATCACGATTATCAGCTCGTATACGTAATGTTCGTCGAAAAATGCGTACAAGAGAACAAAAATGTCAAATGCGTGGAACAATTTATTAAAAAAACATTCAACTAACTCATTTATTCTTGTATAGAAAAATATCTTATAATATTGTTTATAGTAATAAACACGAAAACAAAATTCATATTAGATTAGTTTAATATTGATTTATTATTAAAGTTTTTATATCTCAATGAAATAAGAAAACATTTTCTATCTACTATTGTTTTCATTGGAAAAAAAATATTAATTGTTGATACAAAGATGTTTCTTTTTTGAGGTGGAAATTTATCATTACTGAAGACATACATGGAGTATATTATTGAAAAATGCGTCTGTGTGAAATTGTTTAGTGTAAGAGAAAATAAAAATTCTTTTCCACGAGTTTTTTAATGATTTGAAGGAGATTAATTCCAGTGAACATTGATAGTGGTATCGAGTTTGGAATGTATCAAGAGATTTTTTTGTATTTGGTTCGATTTGATTATTATTTATATGCAAGTCTTTATATTCTTATTTCGAAATGATGTTATCCGATGTGATATCTCGCGTTTGAGATGATGCTCCAGTCATTGCGTAGAACCTATTGAGACTAGAAAGATTGCTCCTCATGCGCTCTCCTTTTTGAGTTATGGCCGCTACACTAGATTTTTTATTTTTGGCACGGTATGTATAAAAAAAACCGGACGAGCGAATTTTGGCCTAAAACTTTGCCCATAGATAACTCTTGAAGCCATTAGCATGTCCTAAAAATGCCAATCAATAGAAGTAGTCTCTTCTCGAGATATCAAATCCACAGAAAATCATGATATTTCACCATTTGTGAATTTGATATTTCGAAAAGAGACTGTTCTTCTTGACCGAAATTTTTAGACGATTCTAATGACTTCAAGAGTTATCTATAGGGAAAGTTTTCAGCCAAAATTCGTTTGTTCGGTTATTTTATAAATATCATGCCAAAGATAAAAAATCTAGTGTAACAGCCATAACTCCAAAAGGACAGCGCATGGGGAAGAATTCTTCTAGACTTTCGTCTAGTCTCAGCAGGCCCTACGCAATGACTGAGATTTCGTCTCAAACGCGAGGTATCACTTCCGGTGGTTTTCTCGTAAGTAGAAATGGCAAAAGATGATGGATAATCAACAAAGACATTTAATATGTATGGCGGTTCAATAACTAAAGCAGAATCGAACATATTTTGATTTTATTCAGCATCGATTGTTAATACATTTGTTTTAATTACAATAGGTTTTTTTTGTCAGCTATGTGATAGCGACGTACTCTGATTATTCTGACAATTTATGTCCTGATCATCCTAAATATTTGTTTGGTATTTTATAACTCATGTATCGATCTTTGATAAATGGATCAATTTGTAATCCAGACGAGAATATTAGAACATCAAACTCAACATGATATCTTTTTATTATATGTTACAGTCACACTTTATAGAAAGAGGTCACATTAGATGTTCTGAGCTAACCGGGATTTGTGCTGATATTCTTTGTAAATCACACGTTTTTTTTAGTTTTGTCTATGAACTTTCTCGTGACATATGCGATGTTATTAATAGGAGTGCTCTATCTCTAGAAAGTTTCGTGACAGTAATTTTATTTATTATATGAAATGTTAAGACACTGTTTCTATCATATCATCTCATGGTCATAACTATAATGATATGTTTAAGTGGATGCCTTTTGAGATTTGTTATTACAGTGCATAGGAATTCGAAAAATCTTTTACGGTATAATACATTTTGTAGAAAAATATTTCTTTATTTCAATTCAACAACAAAGTAACATCATTTGACAAGAAATTTACATTATGGAAGAAGTTTATTAAATAAGAATCAATACAATATCCTTTACTAGTTTCTTTTATTATGTTTTTTAAGCATAGTTTTCTATCTAGACGTAAACTTATTTTCAAATTTTTTATACAAATTCAATATTTTAAATTTATCATTAACTAGAAAAATAACAATGACATAATACTGATACTTATTATTTCGTACAAATCAATTCAATGCAATTCTCATACAATAAATCAAAAATCTTCCACTATTTATGCATCGATATACATTTTACATGATGGAAAAGGTCGTCATTGGCAACTTCTTAAAGCAAATAGAAAAAAATCAAATCACTTTGTGATTTCAATTGTTTACGGTCTAGCAAAAGTAATGACGCTGACATATAGATAGTTGAAAGAAAATTTGTCTTGATATATACTGATGAGAGATGTTCAGGGCCAAATTTTATTCATGTCCATGTCTCGAGACCATGAGAAAGAGAAATATGGTTATAACCGAGTTATCGTACAAATCATATCAATGAAAACATAATGCAAGAGCGATGACAAACACAAAGTGCTATTCATGAACTAAATCAATCAAACAGCGATTATGTAAGAATTTTGTTTTTAGAGATTATACAAATAGACTTTAGAATAGATTTCTCTAAATCGAGAACAGTACCAAAGTAAATGTACCGGAACTAAAATAACTTAGTTTCACACATCTTTAACACTGATAATCCAAATAGTACTCTGTATTTCTTCCATATTTTATTATTCTTTTCTTATGACTCAAAGCCAGTTTGCACTTTTTTCAAATGTTGTCTTAATTACAGATCTATCAGGTCGTGATTCGTTTTCAACCTCTTGCCGTTCTTCACGAAGTCATTTCGATCGAGTTTAAACTCTTCTGCAAGGCGAAGCCTAATCGTTAAAAACAGAACATAGCTCTTCCTGAATAAACTTTTGGCCGGATGGAAAGTACAGTGCACACTTTAATATATGTAGCAGTGAAAATTTTCCTTATCTATTTAAAATAAACGTGAACAGTTTTCATCGAAATTGTATTATTATTATTATAGCAGTTAAAGAATGATGGGATATTGAAGAAGTATAGAATGTCGTTTATAGTATAAATACATAAAAAAAAATTCGCTCGAGCGTCCTATAAAGTGTAATAGTGCTGGTATCATTATTTTTGGTATACCCTAAGTATGTATAATAATTGATGTCTAAAAGAAAAATTTACATATTATATTCAATAGAAATTGTACGAATTGTAGTATTCATTGTTTATACAAAGAATAATGATATCTATTACTAAAAAGATGAATCATAATGATGCATTATTTGGTTTATTCTCTTTAATAGCTTTTTAAAATTTTCAGAGTTTTCATTGTTGTTTACTTTCAATTAACCCTAGTACTACCAAGCGGGGTCAAAAATGACTCCACTATAGAAAAATGAAATTTAATAAAAATATCGTAGTATTTTTCTGGTTCAAAGAGTATTTAGCATTTTTCACGACCAAAAATTTCAGACACAGCACCGAAGAGAAATTCATCTCGTCTTCCCCTCGGACTCAGGCTGTCCAACTATTATAGTGCGTGATTCATCGGATTTTGGAATGTGGAATCAAGATTGTTGTTTATCTTTCTGTACTTGTTTTTTGCGTGAATAGGATGTAATAGTATCAATTGCTCGTAGCTGATATGAAAATAAAAGATGAATCTCTTATTGATATTTGATTTTATAATTCTCCAACTAATGTCCATGTGCCAAAAACTTTCGTTTATGTTCCATTATAGATTGAAACTTTGTTTTTTCTTCAAATTGAATAAAACCGTTCTGATTATCAAACATAGTGTAATGGATGATAATTGGCTTGATGGTAGAAGTGATGATAGTGACAATGCTCATGTTGAAGAAAGTGGTTCAGAAACGGAAAATATTGATAGTGAAACAACAGAAAATGAAGAAGAAATCGATTTAGAAAAGCTTAATTTAGAAGAAAGTGATCCAGATGAAAATTACACGCAAGGCTGTTCATACAGTTCAAGATCTGATATGGTGTTGTCTTCTACTCCATCTTATTCGTCGACAACAAAACATCATGCTAATGTAAATTTAACATCTGGACTTACTGAATTGACCGCACATGTGGCTTCTGTTGAAGATGCATTTCTCTGCTTTATATCGGAAGAAATGTTAAAGAAAATTTTACTTTATTCGAATACTGCAGAAATCTCAAACAGAACTCTGGATGACAGTTTTGAAGAAATATCAATGGTTGAATTAAAGGGTTTTATTGGTCTTTTACTAATATCTGGTTTACTCGGAAAATCAAGAAAAAGTATTAAGTCTTTATGGACTAGAAATTCATTGGAGTCTCCAGTATTTAGAGCAATAATATCGCGAAATCGATTTGAAACAATAGTTTTCTATCTTAGATTCGATGACAAAACAACAAGAGAAGAAAGAAAAAATACAGATAAATTTGCTGCAATTCGTAAAATATGGTTGGACTTTCAAAACAATTTGAACAAATGTTATTCAGTAGGACCTTTTGTGACAATTGATGAACAGTGGGTTGGATTTCGCGGAAAATGTCCTTTTCGTCAATTTATCCCCAAAAAATCTGATAAATATGGAATAAAGCTTTGGTTATGCGTTGATGCCAATTCTTACTATGTATTTGATGCAGTTCCTTATACTGGACGACAATCTGGTCAAGATAAACAAAAGAATATAGGTGTCAACATAGTTTTACAATTGATGAAACCACTGTTTGGTTCTGGTAGGAACGTTATAATGGACAATTTCTTTACTAGTATTCTACTAGCAAAACAACTGGGAGTTCACAATATTACCTTGATATGAACATTACGCAGAAAGAAGCCCGAAATACTCGTAGAATTTCTCTCGAATAAAAATCGTCCAGTTGGCTTTGCAATTTTCGGTTTCAACGATAATCTAACACTAGTTTTGTACGTTCCAAAGATAAATAAAGTTGTTTTGTTGCTCTCATCGAAACATCATGACCACAAAGTAGACTCAACAAATGAAAAGCCACACATCATCTTGGATTATAAAAAAACCAAGGATGCTGTCAATACTGTTGATCAGATGTGCCATAAATATCCCACAAGAAGAGGCATAAAAGATGGTCTCTCTGTATCTTTTATAATATGTTAGACATCGCTGCTCTAAATACTCTGATCATATGGAAGGAGACGAATCTAGATTGGAACAAGAATAACAAATATAAACGTCGCTTATTTCTTGAAGAATTAAGAATAAGTTTAGTGGCTCATCTTCTTGATGTTCGTTCACAAACTTCAAAGTTCTTGCACAAAGATGTTCAAAGTGCATTAGCTGTTATGGGTTATCCTAAGGTGGAGAAAACATCACAAGAATTAAATGAAACCTCCACGGACTTAAAAAGAAAACGATGTTTGGTTTGTGACCGTACCAAAGACAGAAAGACTCTGAACAAGTGTTATAAATGTTCCGAATCCATCTGTAATGAGCATTGTGTGAAACGACTTTTTTGTATCACTTGTTCGAAATAAATACATAACACTCTTCTCAATCATTTTATCCTCTAACCGAATAGAAGATAGTGTAACTTGGACAAACATATCGGTTTCATGACGAAAAAATCACATAATAAAAATGTATTGTCATGTCATGCCTAAAATAGGCTTAGCAGTGCTAAGGTTAAAGTCACAATTTAGTGTTTGATTCAAATCATTATTCAAGAATAAAACAATGCTTAGTAATATCGTTATGACGAAACTTATTGATAGAAACGTCAATACATGTTGGCCTATAAGATCGTAAAACAATATAATTCTAATCATTAGCTATACAATACAAATCAAAAATGAAGACTAAACAAGAGTTCGTTTGCTGACACATCTCATTGTGTGATAGGGGCTTAATAGTTAGCTGAGTTAAGCCCACTACACACTCAGTTTATTCTTCCCATCAAGGTCTATAATAGCTTTATATCAGGTCAGATCTACTGAAATACATCTGTTACACATCTACATACAATATGTTGGATTCAAAATAACAATATATTTGAATTTACAATGTTTTTAAGTTATAAAAATCTTTGAATGTAAAAAGACTTAATATCTTAAAAGAAATCATTCCTTTAGAGTATATTGTAAAAAATATAATATGTCGTTTCTTACAAAATAAACAAACAAATTGAAAGTTTGAATTAAACTTATATGAAAAATCTAGCATAAAACGAATATATACTTTGATTAGTTCGTTATTTAATATTTATACATATATTTAAAGTGTATCGAACTCCTTCCATTGTCATGTGTGTACAGAATCAAATCGAGTCAAATTTTGATATATTGGACTGTAATAAAATTAAACCCTTTCACATTACTATTTTTGTAATATAATCATAAATCATATTGACTCTAAGTAAATATTTACATAGCATATTTCAACTAAATCATTCAACCATTAGTTGTTTATTATTGTATTGAGATTTGATAATAATCTTTTTTTTTTCTATGACAATATACAATTGATTAAAAATATTATATAAATATAAATTAAAAAACTTTTTCACCTAGTCTCTTTTTTTGTAGTATCAATAGTGCACATTCTAGGACGTTAGCACAATTGTGAATATCGACGTATGGCAAAAGTTTTACATGTAATTCTATGCAGGAATATGATAAAACATTGATCTTTTTTGTCAAAAGATGCGTGATCGAATGTTCTACTCAGATTACAAGACTAAAAACATTGAACACGTGTGTTATTTCTTACAAGTAAAAATCAGAAAAGTCTATTTTGTGATTAACAACTAAAGCCATTTTTAATCAAATCCATGTTAGATAAAACGTACTGTTCTAGGTGCTGCAAAAAAAAAAAGCTAAAACGTTCATCACCCTACCAATATTTCCTACGAGATTAGTACTGATGCCTTCATAACGTATATTTATCATCTTAAGTTGAAATTGAGTTCTCATTGTATTATTTCCTTAAGTTTAATTCTTTTTTTTACTATTTATTTCAACAGTCAAGGAAGTTTAATCTAACAGAATAAGATGTAGCGATTTGTACATGGAGCTCACTATTTTTAAACGATGTATTTGAGAGTAACACAACACACAAAAAAAGCTTCAGAGCGAAACATCTAGATCAATTGACACAGACATTATTTTTCACTAGTATTTGAAATGAAGATGAGTAATAATCCTCATGGTTTGGAAATCATACGAGGCCTCTGATAGATTCAAAACATGAAAACTTTTCCGTTTTCTCTTATTTTTCCTTATAGGAAATGCCATAATGACCTACGTATTCAATGTTAGCAATCTATTAAATTTTCGAAAACACCTATAAAGACTTAATCGTGGGATCCGAACAGAACATTCAATCACGCATCTTTTGAAAAAAAGAGATCAATGTGTTATCGTGTTTCTAAACAGAGTTACATGCAAAACAAAAATATCATAAAACTTTTGTTATGCTCATCATTACTTATCAAACAGTCAAAATAATTTTAATAACCAACTAACAATTATGACAATAATTTGATAGATAATCAAAAAAAGAAAAGAAATAATAACGATGATATCGTTTCCTTTTCATAAATATACGATTTATTTCAAAAGACATTTGAAAAAACAAAATCAGTGATGAGTATTCCGTATACAACAACGAAGATAAATAAAAATTGGCAAGAAAAAAATATGTGTATGTAATCGACCAATGAAGACATGTGGTGTATGTAGATAAAAAACAAAAGCAATCACATAAAAAATAAGCATAAACACTGGGATTAGTAAATATCCACGCCATAAAAGAGAACTAAAGCCCATAGTTATAAGCAAAAAAAAACGAAAAGAAAGTTTATTGCCAAAGAAGATCTGATGATGCTGGCATGTATTCTGTAACAGGACGAATTGGCGTATTAGATATTAATGTTGATGCTGATGTATTACTTATGGAATTAGCAAATGGTACAAATTGAGAAAATTGATTATTTATCTAAAGTAAAAATAAATCAAAATAAGAATAAAATAAAAGAAATTTTTGTATACTTGATTAGGTGTAAAAATTGTTGATGAACTTTGAAGAGAAGGTGTACTCATATTATTAGGATTATTATGATGCATTGTATCTAGTTCAGGTCTTGGTGAAAATAGATTACCTTGCTATAAATGAAATTGATTTATAAAAGAAAAAAATTATGGATTTCTTTTTTTTTTTGTTTTGATTTTGTATAACATACCGATGATTGAAATCCAGGATGAGCTGCAAAATGAGATGATTGTTGATAAAGATTACTTCCAAATGATGCTGATTTGTGATGAGCATGAAGATGTTGTTGAACTTGTGGATGAGCCAAATGAGATGAATTAACTAAATAAAGATAAATCATATCGATATATTCATTGATATATCACACAGAGGCGTAACTAATGAAGGATGCATGATATCCTCGTGGTTTTGTCCACACCGTGTTCTCTTGTCTCTAATGCTGACTAGAAAACCTCTCCAGATGTCAAATGGATTTTTAACCCAAACGATGTTTATTTGATGAGTAATAGAAAAATTTAGAATAGTTTGATTTTCCGAGTCTTCATTCTAGAGATATTGAAATTTTACTGAATTTTTCAATAAAAAACCTGTGGACACATGAAAAATCGACTTTCGACTTCAAACTTTGTACGAACAAAATTCTCAATGAGATTAGTTCATTGCGCAACTAATACTTAGAATTGACCAAAGGTTCTGGCTAAGTTGTTTAACCCTTTGGTGCCGAGCGTGGTATATATACCACTTCAAGTATTTCTTAAAATTCAGGGATATAGTACATATACCAAATCATTCAAAAAAAAGTGAAAATAGTCTATACAGTAATTTTCCTTTGTTAATACAGAAAATTATCAATATTTTGAAAGTGTTGGAGATATTCACATATAGTGCATTAGTATTTTCCAACATTACATAATGAATTTTCTGCTTGTGCTATCATACATTCTGTATTGGGATTCTTCCTATACATTCTATCAAAGTATGGAAATCAAAAACGAATGTCTGTTGCGAGGTCATCAACTGATTCACCACTGGATTTATCTGCTAGGCATTTTCCATCACTTGGACCCTCACCTACCTCAAAGAAAAGTGCCCCCAAGGAAATGTCATGTATGTTCTCATATAACAAGACTTGACAAATCAGCCAAATGCACAAGATATCAGTATGAGAAATGTGATGTTGGGTTATGCATAACTGATTATTTCAAAGCCTATCATTACCTTAAAACATTTTTGATAATAATTTTCGATTAAATAAACATCTATTTTCACTTATAGAAAAAAATTTATTTTTTTGAAAAAAGGTGAGGGTGGGTGGGTGTGGGTGTGTAGTCGTCTATCAGTAAATTGACTTTAGTTTCTTCAAAGCCTTATGAAAACAGGATTTACTATATACTATTCAATGCACCTCAAAAATTTCTACAACACGGTATATTTGGTTTTTCATTATCCGACAAAGTCCATTAAACGACTTAGCCAGAACTTTTCGTCAACCCTAAATACTAGTTACACAATGGATTAATCTCATTAAAAACTTTGTTCGTGCAATGTTTGAAGTCAAAAGTCAATTTTTCATGTAACCACAGCTTTTTGTTGAAAAATTGAGTAAAATTTCGATATCTCAAAAACAAAGGCTTGAAAAAGTAAACCATTATAGACTTTTCTATTACTATCTAGCACTCATCAAATTTATTATTATTTTGTAATTTTCTATCATTACTACTATTTTAATGAATCACAGTTTTATAGATAAAGAAAATCTAATAATGTAAAAGATGTTCTTAAAATGAGAATATTTATTAGAAGTGATCTTAGAATATTTCTTAATAAATTTAATTACATACTATTTGGTAATTGCATTGTTGGTGGGCGAATATTCGTTCCAGTTGATGTTTGTGGTGTATTAAATAATGCCATAATTTTTTCATTACTCATAACATTACTTGTATTAGTTGACTTAGTATTATCATTCGGAGATAAGAAAATATTTTGTAAATCTTTCTCTAAATTATTTGTTGTTACATCATTTTCGTTTATATTCGTCGATGGTGTTGTAAATACATCATGTAAAGAATTCATAATGTCACTTGAAGGAACTTTTGTAGGATTAGTCGTATTATTTGAAGAAGTAGATGATAAAGGTAATGAAGGTTCATCTAATAAAAAAAATATATCGACATAAAATTAATTTTGAATAGAAATATGATTACCTAAACCTAATAAATCCGGAGGATTTTCTACAACAGCAGGTTGTACAGAAGGAGTTGAAGCAGATGTTGTCGAAGATGACGGAGTCATTGTCGGTAATTGTATAATTGGTTTTGCACGATCATTACCTGTTTGTCGTACAGGATTATTAGTCGGTATTGGTTTTAATTTTGGAATGTTATTATTATTATTATTAACACTTTTCTCTACCTAAAATAATATTTAAAAAAAAAAAGATAAATTCATACCAAAAAAAAAAAACTTTACTTGTGCTACTTCAGATGCTGTTTCAATCCGTCGTTGATTTGTTTCTGATTCAATAAGCTAAAATAAAATAATATAATTCATTATAAATATTCTCTGTTTGTTTTTTCTTTTATAATTAAGCAAAGCACAAAAGAACATGACAACACTAACATCACTAGGCACCGTTATTTCAGGTGGAATCCATTCTTTAGCAAGCCATTTACGTTGTTCATATTTTGTACGAATAAATGGTTCCAACGCACTAGTCAAATTCATTAATATGCATAATAATAATCATAAAAAAAAAAAACAAGAATCATTTCTACACATACGAATCAGTTTGTGGACGTCGAAATCCAGCAGGTAAATTAGCTTCATATACAGCACGTGCACGATTATTACCCATGACTTGCATTGACTAATTAGGAAATACAATATAAGACAAAAAAAAAAACAAGAAATTTTTTTTTCTATACAGCTATTTGTTCTGCTGTCCATGAATCTAAATTAACTGATTTAACTTTTGATATGTGTACACCTAAATTTCGATGAAAACCAGCACAACGAATACAAATAAAAATACCAAGATTCCAACTAGCCCATCGAGGACCTAGAAAAAAAAAATAGTAATCAATATAAGATGAATAACCTAGTTTTCTTTTTACTTTTTGCATCACAATCAGCACAAAAACGATTATCATCTTCTTTAAGCATCTGTGAAAGTATTATTTGAAATTTTTCTTGCATTTTAGATTTCTCACGTTCAGACCGCACTGACATGATTGCAAAAAATGTAATTTATATTATTATTAATATTCTGAAAAATAATTAAAAATAAAAAAACAAAATTATACATCATAAAAAAAAAACGAAAATACTTACCTCACAAGGGACGGGTCATAAAATTGAATGACTTGACTATACATATATTTGACATCAAAATATTATTTTATTGGTTTAATATAATGTACCAATCAGAAAAATACGATAAAGCGTGTCACTTTCGTCCAAGTAGTTGAAACGATAGATTTTATTCGAGAACTTATATGTCTCCTATGGATTATATTTATGTGACGTTTTTATCTTGCCGAAAAAAAAACTTTTTTTAGTCCGACACAATAATCATAGCATTTTCTTTGATGATAAAAACAATCTGAACTAATGAGATTGAAGTAGATATCTAAAATAATCAAAACGATACCTTCTCGTTTCATCGATATCACAGATGGGCAACACCACTTCAACTCGGAGTTGAAGTTGGATGTAGGTATTAGACTTCTCTATTGCCACACATACACACCCGGATTGGAAACCTGGTACCACCAACTTAATGAAAATTTTGCTACCTTCAATTCAAACTTAATTGATGAAATCAAGAAAGATCATACATTCAACACAGCTATAAGGAAACAATTTAATAATAATATGCTCCACAAAATGAAAAAATTATTTTTCGGAATCAACGAATTCTTCATTTAATGAAGATTTGTAAAACATTATAATAATATTTTATTGTTACTATCTTATGAATTATTGAATTATATTCTTATTTCTATTGTTACAATAACATTCTCTAATACAAAGTTATATATATTTTCATAAAATATTGTTGAATAAAAAGTGTCGATAAAACGGGACTAAACCCTCCCCGTCTCGTTAATCCATTAAATCATCAAATGAATTTAAAAAACAATTTTTTTCTTTTATAACAACAAATGAATCGTGACAATATCATTTGCATCATTATCACACATTTTTCTTGCTTTTGATTAATTGTATTTAATTAATAGAAAAAAAGAAGAATCAAAAACTCATAGAATATTTCTCTAGGGTATTAGCGTAGTTAATAAAGATCAAAACAGGTGTCTATTGTTTGTAGATCATTTCTCACTAGAAGGCTGACATTATCATTTGTCACTAGTTTACATTCATGTATGTCTTTATTGTATCTTTAATCTATTTTTATATTATTGATTCTTGAAACTAAAATTCATAGAAAAGTTCAAGCATTTTATTAACATTTTCTTTTTGCTTGATAGTATTGATCTTCTATAAGTACGTGCCTTTTCTTTCTTTATTTTTTTTTTGTTCCTATTTTTCTCTTCCGATCAATAATTGAGTAGTTGTTTGAGAAAAAAAACTGTAGTCATCATTCTTATTATTTTTGATGACTTATTTTATATCTATTTCCGTTTTGTTTTTTTTTTCTATTTAGACTCTCGACGAAAAGTATTGTTTTTTTCTTTTGATGTATTATTTTTCAAAACGGACTAGGTGAGGAAAAAAACAATTATCAATAATATTTTTTCTTTTTTTTTTTTTTGTCATTGCTGACCGATCAAATAATAGATTGATAATTTAGTTATTTTTATATAGATATACAGTTGTCAGATCATTTTTCCCAAATGTATTATTATTATTTTTTTTTCGTTTTGCTCTGATCGTAATTGATAAATTAGAAATTAACTCTATATAGATATCTTGATAAAGAAAAAAAATAGTCATGGCATTGATATTTTACCATGTTGTCGATAATCTGTCTCGAATTTTACATCGAACTTCGAGGTAAAATATTTGAAATTATTTTTCTAAAAAATCATAACAAACGAAGCGTGAATTCTCGTTTGTTTTTCTTGGTCAAGACATAAATCATCGTTTGGATATCAATAAAGAGCTAATTGATAACTGTCGCTTCGCAGCAGTGCAAACTCATCACTAGTACTATCGATATTGACAACAACATTAGAATATATTCGACACGACAGTTGCACAAATGCGGATTTTAGACTTTTTTCTCTTTGGACATCTGTTATTCTTGTCTAGTTTGATAGCATAGCCGGCTAATGCATATATATATATATATATGCATATATCCAAATATATTGACACACTTGTATTACGAATAAGAATTTTTAGTTTCTTCTTTTTTTTTATTTATTCATATATTAATCGAAAGCAATATTTTTCATAGAAAACAATAATAAATCTGGTTTATTTTGTTAGACAACATATTGTGTTTTTCTTTTCCTCACGTTTTCTTAATATATACAATATTTTTGACGTTTATTTGATTATTTAATCAATATATTTCTTATATATGTCTCTTCTGTATTATCGTGTTTTCCAGGATTTATTTGATTTATTTCGTCGACGTAGAGCAGTAAGAAGGTAAGCAAATATATACTAGATAATTCATATGAACAAAAGAAGACATGTAGATTATGTAATTTGTTAATCATTATTGGATATCACTCTTCTAAAAGACTTTGAACTTTAAGAATAGACAACTTACGTTATATGTGTTACTTTCTGTAATCTGATAGTACAGAATAGCAATAAGTATTACTTTTATATCTAGTATGCTTTTTTTTTGTTCCTATAGAATGAATATTAATTTTTCTGTGCGTTTGTGTTTTTATGGTTTTGGAATATATTTCTTTTCGATTTAACAGTTACATCTTTGTTTTTATCTTTCTAATTGATGATTATGTAAATAGAATATAAATTGTACATATTTCTTTTTACATAAATATGATAGTAATATAAAAATAACTTTTTCTAGTAGCTTTAAATATAATTTATTTTTTTCATTCGAACACGAGACTGAAACTGATTTATATTAGTTGTATCTGTTTTCTAAATAAGCTATAATTATGATTATTTAAAATAAATATATAAAATTTCTATATGAACTAGAAAATTGTTAACATCTCTAGTCTAATGATAGTTAGATTATTTTTTTCTCTTATCGATTTTTTGAATAATTCATATTCTTTGATATATCGTCATAGAATAAGACTAATATTATTTGTCGTTTATAATTCGATTTTTCTTATATTTAGGTGCATTATATCGATCTTTATACAATCATTATGCCATGTCTCATGAGAAATATCTTGTGGGCGTTCTCTTTCTCATCTTACTATTCTACCTTAAGAGAATATTAGATTCTATTAATCTATCCACATCTATAAACGTATGCAAATGAATAAACCACTGATTTCTTATATATATATATATATATATATATATATGGCATTTGACTAAGAGTGATGACATCCCAAAGAAACGGCTCATCAAATACATCAAAAAGAAGACACCAACACACAGAGAAAAATATAGACGCCTATATCTATATCTCTATATATATATAAATCTAAAGACATGTCTATATCTATAACTTTCGAAAAGATACAAGTGGACGTTAATTATTGAATATAATCAAATTAAATAGACTATCGATAAATAAAGACCGTAAATGACACAACAAGTAAAGGTTTGTTTTTTTTTATATGATAAGTTATACTCATTAGTCTACTTAGCCTAATTTGGTTAAAAAGCAAAAAGACAAGAAAAATAAACAATAATTATGATGTACTCATTAAGTCAGACAAACATAGTTAGTTACACAATCTTTATTATATTTACATCTGTTTCTGTTGTTTTTTTCTTCCTTCTTAATATTGATATATTCAAAGAGCAGGTGATATTAATAGAAACATATCTCTTTTTCGATATGACTGAATATGTGTTTATTGGAAATAAGATTAAGAATAATATTGCTATAATGATTATTGTCTTAAAGCTATTTTTTATTTGAGATTTATCTAAATTATAATAGCAACTTCTTATTCTATCAATATTCATATAGTCATTGTTCTTGTGTTGATGTAATAAAAAATATGTATATATTTGAATAAAATTTACCTGTTGTTTAATAAAGAAAAAAAAGAAAAAAAACCAACTTGATTTATTGGTACCAATAGAATTGATATAGATACAGTCATCTCTTTATATATAATAACTATTTATAAATAATATCCTGTCGATTATTTAAAGATATCAGAATATATAACCTCAGGATATGAAGATTCTATGATTATGAGTTCTAATAAGTTGTTGATACATCCAGGGTTAAACTTCTTTTGCTTTTTCACAAATCATATCTTTTTTTTTTTATTTATTCCATGACCTCCGTTCTCTATTCTTTCTGGCATATTATTCTACGAACTATCATTTCTTCTGCTCGATTACTTGTAATAAATGTCCGGAAAAAAAAGAAAAACGCTTCATATTCATTCGTGTGTGTGTATATGTATATCTGTGTTAAATAATCAAACAAATGAGTATTCTCTTATAATGAGACAATTTGTATAGAGAACATAGAACGAACAAAGCAAAAGAAGGACTGGACTCTTTGCTAACGTTACTGAAGCATGTTGATGCTTTTTTTTTTGTATATAACATTGCCTTAGACAAGACGACGACAGATACAAAAGAGTAGTGTTAGTTGTATTAGTAATAGATGTAGTCACCGACCGAATACTATAGATAAACGACGACAATATAGATAGAGTATGTCAGAACAAAACGTATTGTGAATTAAGATAACAGCTGAGTATAAAGAAATCAAGAATGCTGTTTGATGTGAATAACAGACATCGTCATGGATCATTGTTGTCAATCCATAATAATAAAAATCGTTCGCCGAGTGTTATCAGTGTCTATGATAATCTCGTTCTAAGAGCAACAACAACAACAACAGCAAATGGAGATATTTCGTGAGTATTCTATTACTTAGGATTGATCAAAAGTTTTGATTTCAATATGTCAAATTGTATAAAATAGTTAATAATGCAAATTTTATTACATAAATACATGGTAGAATGTCTCGTCTACAATTATGTATATATATATAACAACTCTATCTTAGA